GAGAACTAGGTTGCTGAAAAGTCTTTCCTTTTCTGTACAGTTACTGGCAGTGTGCAAAAACTCCCACAAAGCTATGCAAGTGCATTTAAATTTAGCTGCAGGGCTTTTGCTTTGTTTGGATTTTTCCTTGGTGGGGCGGAGGAGCGGGCTTGGTAAATTTCTTACAATATTCTTTCCCAAAAGTAGACTTGCAAGCCTTTTTTACTCACCATGAAAACTTTTCCATTTTTGTGGGAAGGAATGCAATCTCCATTTTGACAGCCATTGACAGCCCTTCAAACTGCCCAAGTAGCACATTGGAAGGACGTTCAGTGGCTGAAACCCATTTTTGTTCATTTCCTTTAAATGTACTCCAATGTGCCCAAATATTTTCATGGTATTAAAAATATTAGCTGCACTTGCAAAATTGTAGAGATACATGGTTCCACAAGTGCAAAATTGGGAAGCCTGGGCAGGGCAATGGCTAAAGGGTGGCTGGTAATTGGCCAATAGAGACTCCAAATGTGTGTTTTTTAAAGAAAACAAGACTGGTTTGTTTTGACATCTGTCAAAATGTGGGCTGTCAAGAGGAAGCAAAACCACAAGTGGTCTTTGCTTGCAAAACGAACAAGATCCCCATCTTTTTTATTGTTTGCTCAGACCATTCCGAGGGTCTTATAACTTTTCCCTAAGTCTGTAACTGCTCAGGAAAATGCAAACGTGCATGCTGCCCTGTTCTTTGGAGAAAGGTTTTTTGACACTAGCTGTCAAAATGGGGTTTTGACAGGGCAATGGGTGCTTTTGACAGGAAGATATGCTTGAGTTTTGACAACAAAATGGCACAGGGAAAATGCAAAATACACAGGACCCTGAGAATAGTTGTTTTGAGGACTTGTGGGAGGGCTGGTACTGGCAGTGGCCTGGGCAACCTTAGAAAGTGGCTGGGGGTGGGGGATGGTTCCACTTTTGCTAAGAGTTTTCCTCATGCTTCCCTTGACCCATGATGGAAACTGTTTCCCAGGTTCAGAAGACATGCCAAGCATTGTAGAGGATAGATGAAGCAGCTCCAAGATCAACCCATAGGTTAACAGGGTGGCTTGTTGCCCATGAAAATGGCACCCTGCAGCATTTGGTTCCTTACAAGCCAAGGTGTGGTAGTGGTGGTGGTGCTGCTGGCTGAGACAGGGTGCCCAGACAGCCTCTCAGAAGAGTCCGCTTGGCTAGCACCAGTGCATTGGCCAGTTCCTTGGGTTGTTGTGTCATTTGAACCCAGCCAGTGGGATATCTCAATATTAATCAGTAACTAAAGAGATTGCGGCTTGGGCTGCACCCTCCCGCACGCACACAATATGCGTTGAGCCCTGGAAGCTAGAGAAAGTAGTCCATGTCAAGACATAGTTGATGGTGTTCCCAGTCATTCCCCAAACTATACAGGGTGAGCTTCTCTTACAATAGCAGCTTATATCAGCTACTCAAGACCTGGCAGTTTATTGAAAAATGTTAAGATGGTGTTGCTCGTTTTCTTCTTCAAAAGCATAACTTGCCTCATACAGATTTGCATGTGAATACATGTCAAATGAATGCAAAACTAGAACAAATAACGAGATCAAAGTAATTGATTGAGGTCAGCAGCAAGCAGCACTTCTGGGGAGATCACATGGGAGGAATCTGGGAAGTTGGAGATCAGAACTAAAATTAAGGCTTTCCAAGGTGCTGCAACAATAGTCTGATGCGGTGTGGCAAATTCTATATTTGGCACTTAATTGCTAAAAAAGGAGAAAGAAACCAAAGCTCTTATCTCTTTGATTTTTGAAGCCCTTCCCCCAGCCACTGATGAATCAGACCTATGGGGAAAATATTCAGGGAACTTTTCAAATATTCTCATTTCATCTATTCCTAGACTGAGCCCTGACATTACAAGTGGATTCTGGAGCTGAGTACAAATTAACCCTTACCAGTATCCTGGTTACTATAGTCAAGACCTGTGAATCTCTGACCTCCCCCAACCCATTTTTTTAACAAGAAGTTATGGCAAATCTTACTTCTGAATTTGGGAGAAATTTGTTTCCACTTGAGTGAGCTCAGGCTTCAAATGATACAAGTGAGAAGCTGCTAAAACTGCTGTGCCAATCAAGCCTCTTTTGATGGCAAAGTTAAAAATACGATTCTCTGGCTGACAGTCTCCTTTTTTTTTTTTTTAAGAAGGAGTATAGGCTGTTTTTATATTTCCTTTAGCTTTTATGTACCCAATGAAAAAGATAATGTAATGAGATAGGATTTATAGGCTATTTCTGCTTCCTGAGATAGATATATATGAAATTTATTTAAAACATAGTACCTTAACTGCCTTATACATCAGACAATAGCCAACAAACCTCCAAGACTGTTAGTTTAATTTTACTTCATTTCATGAAAAAATTCTGGAATTTTTGATAAATGAAACAGTCTTCAAGAGTCCCCATACAGATTATTCTCCACGTTATGTATACAGAGACATCACTTTAGGGTTTTCCCTCTTCTCTTCATCCCCCAAGCCAGCCTGGTCAATATCTTATATTCATACCCCATGCAATTATTCCTTGGGAAAACCCATAGCTTTGACTGCCATGACACCTTAAAATGTAACCACAACAGATGCTGTTAAATCCCATGCTTTTACCTCAGAATAGTGAGGAGTCTGTTCTTCAGAAGAAATAGATATATGTGTGGACCAGTTTCCTATGTGTGGAGAGTAGGGCAAGCAGATGTCCCTTGTCTATTTGCACTGGTCCCAGTGGAAACTGGTCACTTAGCAAACAGAACCAAAGGCCTTGAGCATCAGTGGGATTTTGTCTTGAGCTTGGAGTTTTTCACAACTTGCCAGTGTGTGGGGCCTGATCCAGGTTGGTGGCCTAAAGGGGAAGTGGAAGGGAGCTCTTGGCCCTTTGCCTCCATTGCAGTTCTGATCCATATGGGGACTCCCAAGCCTGTAATCTGCATGACCAAAAAAGGCCCCATTGAAATAAATGGCACCCTTTTTTAGCAAAATAAACTGCAGGAGAGAGACTACAGTGATGGTGGTGAAAAGCAAGTGCTTAAAGCCCCTTTGTGCACCCCCCCCATACTTCCACACCAGGGTCCCAGTATGTACCATCTTCCACCATGATAGTTGTTTCTGCAGAAAAGTATGCAGTTAAATCCAGAGCTACACAGGCAGGGTAATTCTTGGTTTGGTTGGAACAGCCCAGCAGTTTCATAACCTGGAGATATGGAAGAGTAGAGCAGAGACCCTCCAGAGCTGCATCGGGACTCCAGTCAAAGCGCACTGGGGTATTATATCTTTTCTATTAAATTATTCAGCTTACCTTTACAAATGTCACTGCACTTTCCCCATAACTGCAGTTAACATTCATACCAAGAAGAGGAAACCCCGGTGCTTAGTCACAGAACCAGAATGCAGCAGGTATTGAATTTGCCCAGTTCATGTGGATTTACTTATGGGGCCCTTGCTAACATGGAAATGTGCATTCAGTGCTAGTAGCATGTCTGTGGCAGTGGTGCAACAAAAGTGCAAACCAGGCATTAAGCACAGAGTGAGGCAGCAGGTATGTGTCGGGATAGAGTATTCTAAGTCTGGGTGGGAAGTAACCACAACACTTCACGTTCCTCTTTTGAATACTGAAGGGTTCGATTCTTGAACTCATTCAAATGAGGTAATCCTCCTGCAAAGAGCTAATAGCTGCATTGGGAAACCTACTTACTAGCATTCCTGCAACTCTGAGGTGGGATTCATCTCTCTTCCCACACAAACATGCCTTAAAATAGGATGCGTGTGGCCCAGTCCTGGAATGTCTCTATTGCTACTGCTTGCCCTTCTAATTCCTTTCATGGTGCTGCCCTGATAACCACAGAAACAGACCCCCAGATGCTTCTGCTAAGACAGTGGATGGGTTCACATGATGCATCAACTTCCCTGGGGATTTGGCATCTTGGGGCTCTGTCATCCACTTTCCCGTCCTGCTCACCTGCCGATGCCGACGGAGTGAAACAGCAAGACATGGAGCCCAGAGCTTCCCCCATGCTCCTTCTAAAACTGAAGGGAAAGGGATCCTGCTTTCCATCGGCAGGAGCACAGGCAAATCTGAAGGCAGCCATGCCTGGGCACCTGGCCAGATGAAGACCCTTTGGCCAGAGTGGCAGTGCTTTTGCTTGACTGTGTCTTAGCAGGTCATCTGGGTTAAGATGGCATATTTCTGCCCTGTGGGTTAATTAAGCCCACATGAGTATCCCATGAGTACCTGGGTTTATAAGCCATGCCAGGATAGTTTATAAACTGTGCCTCAGAAAGAGTGCTAGGTTCAGAAGACACACTAACCCAGCATGGCTTATAAACCACAATGGATTATCATGTTGTATGAACCCAGCCAATGGGTAATAGGAAAAAAGCAACAAGACTGTAGCATTGCTTCTTGACCTGGATTCCAAGCAGAGACTGATTGTAGGATGCAGCATGCTCACCACATCATTATAGTAGCTGAAAATACAAAAAGGTGGCCATTCTGGGTGGCAGCCATTCCTGCTGGACACACCAATGCAGGCCTAGCACAGAACTCATTTGTAACAGTTTCGAAACCTGAAATTCAGTATTTTGCACAAGTTAGTCTACAGAATGCATGTGGTACACACCTATGATTGTGTTATATGTCGCTTAAAATACCCATAATATAATAGCAATAGTTAAGCTGGAAGTGTTCCCAGACAAGATGTCTATTGTGCAATCACACAGCCAGGCAATGTTGTTTTCAATTTGGAGTCCTCCCACATTTTCCCACCACTCCTTCTCTCTTTTTTCCTCACCAGAAAAAAAAAAATCCATTGGGGAAGAAAAAGATAGAATAGCAACACAGTTTCCTGAAATGTTAATGCTAATTAGGGTCTAGGAAAGAAAGAATATGACTTTGGTATGAGGAATTCAAAAGAACAAAAGGACGTGCCTGTTAAAAGAATAGACAGTATATTTAATGTGACTCATACAGTCCTGTAGCTTGTCAGGACTGGCGCAGAGACTTTCTGCCTAAAACAGTTAAATGATCCTCTGCCCTCCTTCAGGTAACAGTTGGACTCAGTTGTTTCATAAATTAACACATCTTGTGTACAATATAATTTCCACTGCTGATGCAACAAGAAACACATAAACTGAGGCAAGTATTAATCAGCTTGCTCATGAAATAGAATGTACAGTACATGAGGTTCTTTGGACAGATAGACAAGGGACTCTTATTTGGCTAAGACAGTGATAGCATTTTGGCAATACAGCGCATTTTTATTTTTAGAAAAAAACATCAGTTCTAGATGGACACTGCTGAGGTTCCAGCGCCTTGGTGGAGATGCTCGTGCACTAAACCTGGGTTGGCAGCTGCCCATTGCCCGTTGAGTGCCTGATGCTCCCATTCCAGGTGGTGGCTCTGAAAGTGTAGGACCTTCCTCTCATAGATCCCTCTGTATAGAGTCTCTCTGGCTTGTTCTGGCAGCGGAAGAACATGAGGAACCCATTGCGGTAGTTCTTATTCATCCAGCCGTAGAGCAAGGGGTTAGCAAAAGTGGAGCACATGGCTACCACATGGAACACAGTGTAAATGAGTTTGTAGTCATGGAGGATGAGTACCAGATCTAGATCAACAGCGAGCTGGAAAACATGGAAAGGGAGCCAAGAGACGGCAAAAACCACCACCACCATGACCAGCATCTTTGTGGTCTTTCTCCTGCGACAGTGACTGTCGTTTCTAGAAGTGGGACTGATATGGCTCTTCAGCTTGAACCAAATCCTGATGTAGGCATAGCAGATAACAGAAAGAGGGAGAACATACTGCAAGAGCAGCATGGATAAGCTGTATATAGCAGCATCCCTGTTTTCAGAAGGCCATTTCTCAGTGCAGACTGCTATTCTGAGATTGATGGATGGAATTTCTTCATATCTGTACTCTCGGAAGATGGCCAATGGGCTGGCTAGGACAGCAGCGATTAGCCATGTAGTAGCTATGATGATGAAGCTGATCTTCCTGGATATCCTGCTGTCTAAGTGAAAAACAATGCATCTATACCTGTCCAGAGCAATCACAGTTAAGGTGAGGGTGGACACATGGACACTCAAAGCCTGAGCATAGGAGACCAGGTGACAAAGCACAGCCCCAAACTTCCACTCATCCAACAGAGTGTAGGTCAAGGTGAAGGGCAAACAGAGCGTGTCTACCATCAAGTCTGCCAGAGCCAAGTTAGCTATGAAGAAGTTGGTTACAGTCCTCATGGTTTTGTATCTCACAATCATGTAGATGACTAAGGAGTTGCCAATGAATCCCAGCAGGATGATTAGGGAGTAGGCTGCTATCAGTACAATCTGCACCCCCAAGATCTTGGTGCTGTCCATCATAATATCACTGGATTCTTGGAGTCCCTCATGAGGTGGGGCAAGGCCATTGGTGTGCCAGCCAAATGACAGCTTTTTATCCAGGAAGTGTTCTTCCGAGTTGATTGTGCCGTTGCCTTGATCAAGCAGCCCCATGATGATGGATTGCCTTGCCTTTGGTCTGATGGTTTCTATGACGCTCGCAGCTTTACCTGTGAACAGGGAAATAAGCAAGCACAATTTCTTTTCAAGGGATGGCATTTCAAGAAGGAGGGAAAAAGTGGAGTATTTCACATTACACTGACATATCCAAGTCAGTCTTTCAAACTTATACACTCCGTCCATAAGTTCCTATCCTAGGTTGAAATAGCAAATGGCAGGCATTATATGTTTGCCAGGGCAGGAGGGTGAGGGCATAGTTACATAGCCAGAGGGCATAGTTACCATATCCATTCTCAAAAAAACAAGTGTCGACCTAGCTAGACCCCTGTTTTATCTGCATGATCAAATTAATTAAAATCAAAGGCTAAAAGGCTGGGCCATACTAAATTCTTTTAAAATAATGACACAATTTGTTCATTTGTTTGTTTTGAAATTCCATCCATTTATTTACATGGGCTAAAAGGACCCCTCTAAATGCCATGCTGATGTAATTCCATCAACCAGATCTTCTATTTAACTATTAAAGGCTATCAGCCATTGGTCTACAGGCCGCCTCTTCTCCTGGGGTCTGGTGACCTTGGCTGTGCTTTACAGAATAATTAAATTTGAATGAAGGATGGGGAAGAATACAAATATATAAATATATAAAACAATACAGCCCTGAGAAGAAAATTGAATATGTGATAGTTTAGCCTGTGTGTGAGAGAGAGTGAGAGAGAGAGACTTACTTCCATACAGCCTTAGTAGGGTGGACTGCTGAGTCAAGCCTTCCTTGGGCTCCAGCACTCTGGCAGGGCCCCCCACCAACACTCTGATTTAGTGGGTGCTGAGCAGCTGAGTCCAGAAGCTGCCATAATGCACCAAATAGAGTGCTGACCTGGGGGGATTGTGAGGAATCTCTATGGTGCCCCCTGGCAAGCTTCTGGGAACCACCATTTTAATTTACCACCATGTCCTGAGAGTCCCTCTGTTGGGGAATTGTGGTAAAGTAAATGGTGCTGCCAGCCTCTGCAGGTGGCCCCATGCTTGAGCCCTATTGACGAAGAAAGGCCCACCACAGGACACTTGGCTGAAGGGAGTCTCAGACTTGAAAGTGGCCCTGTGCTGAGTAAGCAAGCCTAGGACTGAATTGCATAAAATATTCACAAGAAAAGAAGAGTCGAACCTAAACCCTTCAGCGCTACTTACTGTGGCTTACCGAAGCCCTGCTGCAGGCCCCTCAACTTAGAAATAGGAGACTTACATGCCCAGCAGGACAAAGTGGCTGACTTACTCATGGCTGTCATGTTGACAGACATCCAAACATTTTTTATTATTATTATTATTATAACATTTCTATGCTTTAAATATTGAAGAATGACTTAGCTGCAAGAAACCTTTTTTAATTAAAATGTTCGATATTACTTTCCACTTTAATCATTATTTCAAACACTGTATGCCTCTTTTCAGTTCAACAAAGATTTCCCTCCACATAATCTGATTCTCAGCCTTCCTCTTTCTCTTACTGCTGGGAGGAGTGATTGCCCTTCCCCCCACTTTACCATATCTCAGCTTGAAATCAACCCATGACGATGCTGTTATTAGACATAGTTGGGAAGAAAGACTTGGGCAAAATAGGATACAAGAGGATTTTGGCCATCTGGTGTAACCTGAGGCTAGGATCGTACTGCTAGTGGTGACAGAAGTCATGGGTCAGCATGAGGCAATCGCCTCAAGCAGTACATATGGGAAGGAGACAGCAAGCAGTTGGGGGACAGAGCCACAGCCTGCTGCCTTCAGCTGGGGACGGAGATGCTGTCCCTTTCTTCGTGCCAGAGGAAGTTGCCATTCCAGTCAGCATTTATACCTCGGACAGGAAGGGCTGATGTCTGATCTGCCTTGGGCAGCAAAATGTCTGGCTCTGGGCCTGGTTACATGCTTGAGTGAACTTCTCTGAAAAGGCAGATATGGACAAAGTTATGTTTCCTTCCTACTGCTAGGGACAGCGTCTCAGTTACAACTTCCATTAAACTTCATCTGAATGAATATCACCGATACGTCTTTACAACTGATCATTATCTCATCATGCAGCACATACATCCTCTTAGTGTTCCCTTCTGTTCTGACCATTTCATCAAATCTTGAAAAAAAGATATGAGGATCTGAAAATGGAATGGTTGTTCTTCTGCAGTTGTTTCCAGGCAACTGATGTTCTCTTCCAAAGAAAGTGTTACAAATTTCACATTAGTAAGTCTCCAAAATTGAACAGTCTTGGTGAAACAGTGGGGGAACTTTGCTATTGTGTACAATCCTCATTGGCTTGATTTCTACTGAATCTATCTTGAGTAGGAAGTCATTGTCTCTGTTATTTTGTGCAATGCACACAGTGGTTCCTTAAATAAATGTGGGGGTGGAGGAGGCAAAGTGATGGCAGGCCATATGGTGACAGAGGCTGGGGTTATTTTGCAACTTATAATAAATGACCCTGTGCTCATTTATTACTCAACAGAACAGAGTTCACAACACCTCTTGGGAACTACTGCAGTGCCTGACTCCTAATCCCTACCACTTGGAATACACAACAGTGAAAGAAAATGCCTGTTTTAGCTTGGTGTTAGCTGTTTCTTCCTCTTTCTCTGTAGCCTCCCTGTGTGCAGGCATGGAGGGACATTTACTAGTTCGTTGATCAGGGCTGGTGATCTTTACAGCAGTTATTCTGCGGTAGCCACAGACAAATTCTGTCTGTGCCAGGTTCTGGGGATAAAGACTGTCTCTTCCACTTCTTTACTGCTTCTCATAAAGCACACCTCTTTTGGCTCATTGCGCCTTCATCAGTAGGTGGCAAATTGACCCAAATTTTTGAGAAGAAGTCAACAGTAGCTCACAGCTCAAAAGTTGATGGGATATGGAATGAAAGATGAGCACAGCCTAGTTCCAGGTTTCAAATGTTCACACATTGTTCTGTGCATTTAAACACCCCACATTTACCAAGGGGTGCATCACCATGAGCCTTGGTAGGACTTCCTCTGCTCACTGCACCCCACTAACTCAGCCATACAGGCTACCTGCAAGCTTGGGTAAAGAAGCATACATTGCATGCCGAGGAAGAAGAGGATAGTTGAGTTCACCCCTGATTTCTCCACTCATGAAACAACTAATGGACATTGCAAATTAGGGCAGTGGAGAATTTTTTGATCTTCAGAACATTAAAGGTGCTAATGTTACCTGTTAGTAACTGATATTGCTAAAGGTACTTGCCAATGTCAAGAGAAGATATTGGTCAGTTCCATGAATGTAGTTTTTCATATGCAAGTTAAGCCTCGGTTGATAGTTTCCAGCTTTAAATCAATGAGGCGCAATAGACCCAGTTCGGCACTAGTCATGCACAGCTGTCACCTGCACCTGGCTGGGAGGCACCACCTTCTCCCACCTCAAGCAGAAACATCCAGACAGCTCAGACGGGCTCAGATGAGCACTGCGGTGCAGGTACGGCTGTTCATCATCGTCCACATCAGTAACCCATGCAGAGGTTCCTTCCGTTCACCTCTTGCTGGATCAAAGGGTATATGTCTACGTGCAGCACGTATGTTGAGATATGCACTCAAGCTGACATAACACAGCATGTCTGCTTTTAACCATTTGCTAGCTTGTCTGCACCACCATTTCATCCCGTTCTCTCATGTGCATTAAAATCATGCCAAATACTAAACCTGTTACGTAAGAACATTCCGTAGAAACAGTGATCTGGGGGAGGCTTGCATTATAGCTTCCCTTTCTCATTGTGTTTGGCTTCAGTGATCTGTCTGCTTCAAGCTGTCAGCAGTCATCATAAGCCAGTGCTGGACCGGAGCCTAGACTCAGCGATGGGCTGGATGAGAGCCCATCGGCTAGAGCTGGATTTTGGCAAGACTGTGTCCTGTGGGTAAGTGGTTCCTGAGACCGTGAGATAGGCTCATTGCCTGCACTGGGTGGGTTTGCATCCCCTTTGAAAAATTAGTTGCCCAGTCGGGATCCATCACTGTTGCTGGAGACCCAAGTGGCCAGCTGTGGCTGGCTTGCCAGCTACAGGGAGAGCTTGGGCACAGTGATAAAGGCACCTTAAGGCTGGTCCAAAAGCAGGAGCTAGTGCAGAATAAAACGGCACAGTTGCTGTCAGGAGCTGCCTCTTTTCAGCATGTACCTCCTTTGCTGAGGGAACTGCGCTGATTGCACCCATTGAATGCATCTTTATTTCATGCTGTCTTCCTCAACTGACCAGTCACAATTTTTACTGGTATTCTATTCTTTTATAGTCTTCTAATGTGGTGTTTTGTCCTCATATATTTTATTTTTCTCTGCTCCAGAATCTGTTTGTTTAATCTATAAAATGCTCAGTTACCTCCTTTCCCTTAAAGTAAATTGAATTATCTCCTCAATCTTTCCCTCACACCAAAGAGCAGCTGGTTGCAAAATAAACAAAACTACAGTTTTTAAAAGCTATCAATTAGTGGGCAGATGGAGACATAATTATTGTTAGGACCATTTGCAATATTAAGCAAACCTGCTTAATGGATTTTTAAAAAGGCTAATATTTCAGAATTAGTATACTTCAGAAATGAGGTGAAATGGAGCAGATAATAATAACAATACTGATCAAAGATTATTTGTGATGCTCTTGGACTGGTTAAGGCTATGCAGTGAAGTTCTTCCTAACAGAAAGCAAGTCACTAACATTAAACACATGCTGAAATTCACTGAGTTGCACAAACAGATTCACCATTTTTAAAGCCTCATCTAGGCTCACAGAATATATGGCACAATCTCTGGCCTTGAGCCCATTTTGTAAGAATGAAAACAACAGCTAAACAGACTCACTGACTGGCACAGACAGGAATAATTATTTGCAGTCTTGACCATGTTATATAATTGTGAAAGCTTCAAGGGACTATCACGGTTTTATGTGGTAATAAACACTTAGGGTGATTTAAAATGTCTGTTTCCCTCTGGGATAATACCTAGGTGATGTCATGGCCAAACCATTGAGGCGATGTCAGGCATGCTGGGCTAGTGCAGCAGATGCCATGTTGGGCCT